ACACCCACACCCATAACTGTGGCAAAAAAAATTTTTTTTGACAAATGCTTCCCCCCCCCCCCCCCCCCCCCCCGTCAGGGCTCATGGGATCGCTTTGTAGAATTTTAACGATATCTCAGCCATTTCTTGACCCATCCTTCTCATCTTCGAACTCTATCGAGCTATTCATGAGACAAACCTGCGAAAGAAAAATTTTCTCCGATTGCTCAAATTTTTCGAGAGTTATAGAATAAACGGACGGCCATACTGACCGATTTTAGTAGTGTACTCACTTTTTGAGTACACAAAAAAGAGACTTCTATTAAACTACAATTTATTGAAAAACACTCATGAAAATGTAGAATTGGCTAACGAGGGAACCGCCCGAGGTGATTACCGCTTTTACCTTTCATCTCTTGGTTGTAGATAATCCTCAATGAGGTATAGAGAACTTCAAGAGGATACGTCCCCGTGGGCCTTTTATCTAGAGTTATGGATCTTTTACTAAAATTNTAAAATTTTCGCATAGGGCTAGCTATCTGTCTTCAGATTGAATATCAACATTTAGAGATGCAATTTTGGCTATAGACATGTCTGTAGATAGGCACAGCGCTCTGAAAATTTTAGCTCTAAAATAGATTTCCTTCTTGAAATGCTAAAATTTCAACAAATCACCCATATCTTGGGAAAGATACTAGAGTTTTTCTTTGTTTTAAGCTTCGATATTTTGGGAAGGAAATCTTCTTCAGAGCTAAAATGTTCAGAGCGCTGTACCTATCTACGGATCTGTGTATAACCAAAATTGCAGCTCTAAATGTTGATATTCAATATGAAGACAGATAGCTAGCTCTATGCGAAAATTTTAGTGAAAGATCTATAACTCTAGATAAAAGGCCCATGGAAACGCATTTTCTTGAGGCTTTCCATACCTCATTGAGGACTATTTACCACCAAGAGATGAAAGGTAAAAGCGGTAATAACCTCGGGCGGTTCCCTGATAAGACTTTAGTTTCAGTAGTTATTTATCTTTATTTTTTTCTATGCTGGCATTATGTGTCACGCGTATCATCAGATAGTCGACAATCCAATGTGGTATAAATTTAAAGAATGCCATCTGTAATCCATGTTGCCAGTTGCCAGTGATAACAGGCCCACGTTGATCCACTCGTTCTAAAAGTGTTTTCGCGTATTGCATACTTGATGGACAAAAGAACGACACAGGTGCCTTGTTGGCTGCCGAATTCACAGTACCAACAAGAGCAGCAAGAACATGTACATTTGTCTTGAGATATGTCATTTCGTTGTGTAGAGCATGACTGAAAGTAAGATTGTAGGCTTTCGAACCAGCGTAGGTACTAAGAAATGGTGGATATGTAATAGCTGCTCCTGATGATAAATTCAATATGAGTGAAGGCACCGCTCGTCGAAGCTGTGGCAGTAACTGACGGGTGAGCGATGTCGGAAAAAGTGTATTAGCATTCATCATAGCCTGGATAGAGTCGTCTGTATCATTTTCAAATGGTTTAAAACCACCATCCCCTAAGATGCCAAGGCAATTTATTAAAATTGTTACATGTAACTCCTTGACAACATTTATTATTGCGTCTGAATATGGATTCTTAGCAGCATCGACGATTGCTATTTGAACACTTATTGTTGGATAAAGATTAATAATTTCTTGTTGTACATTATGAAGTTTTTCTGGATTTCGTCCGTGAATAACAACATTAAAATTATTCCGTGCCAGCTCAAATGCCAGTCCCCGACCGATACCATCTGTCGCCCCAGTGACAATTGCGTAGGGTTTGTTACCATGTCTATACTTACTGAGAGGATGAGCTGATGCACTCAATAAGCCACCCGTTATACAACGTTAATTAACTCGTTGTGTTCGAGAGATAGGTTTGAAACGAATGACAATGGTGTTTTTTCTACCGTAAAAGTGATATAGTATTGAAGGCGTAAGCGTTACAGTTGAGTCATCACCGTTCTTACATACGACGACATTCAAATTTTTGTAAACTTGTGGACTCTTACAGCGACTACTCTCTAAAATACGTCACTGTGCCCATTGATACAATAACTTCGGAGAAATTAATTGGGCTGTGATGAAATTTTGTAACGGCGCTATCCCATCAATATATCGGCGTGTTCGAAGATGAACGCAATTATTTGTGTCATTGCCGAGTTCTAGTAAAAATACACGTATTTTCTACCTATCTATCTATACTAACGAAGAAGAATATTTGCCTGTCTGTTATACATTCAGTCTCTTTAACGGTACGAACATCAAACCTTCTACAGTAGTCATCTAAGTCCAGAAGAAGTTCGAGAAGGAACTGACGTAACGATAGGGGTAGAGTGAGAGGTGTGAATGAGATTACATCCAGATCGATCAGTGATGGCAAACGTCGTCAGATTTCCCATGATAGTTTGCTAGACTCAATAAAAGATTGAAAGAAGATTACAGAGGCTGATGAGAGATAGTACTGATGAGTGATTGTTTGGTTGAAGTTTCACTCAGGTAGTTTTGTGCCGACTAGCATCATGAAACGTTCTAGGGCGCTTTCTTATGCACAGAGAATGTTTCAAAGAGTGCAGTGACCATTCATAGGGGCATGAATGGGATGTTGGGTTAAATTTCATCCGAGTTATATCTCAATTGAACTTGAGTTAATTTTCGAGAAAATTAGCGGACTCACTATGGTATTAACACTAATAATTTCGTGACGACACTTCAGCCATCTGGATGCGAAAACTGCGGGTTACACTAATATATATAATACAGTAGAACTTTGTTTATCTGAATACTGTCGGCTCTTATCAAAGTGGCCGCAATGTGGGGATTATTCATATTGCAGAGTGATTAGCAAAAATAAATCTGAACACATTTTTTTGCTATTTCCTATTCTGTTTGAATATAGCTTTATCATTTTATACAATAAATTGCCATCATTTGTCATGAAATGCTTTTTGATACAACTGACTTAAATACAAAAACAAAGATTTTTTCCAAGGAAGCTGAAATTAGCGATGAATAGTTTTTTGTTTCAAATGGCTTCTGTCAAGACACGAAACGATTAGTTTCGATTAAAACTGAGAACAAAAAGATTTAGCTTTATATGTCTGTTTGTTGTTAACTAAGGTAAACGACGCATCGTTTCTATGCCTTCAAATACCTTCTTTTCATCCCAATCAACCTGTTTGTTTCAAAAATTCATCAACAACCATGATTTTCACAACATTATCGATATTCTAGGTGATGCCAAAAACAAAGTATCCAATAGTGTCTTACTAGAGAGCTACCCCATTATCAAGATGGTTTATGTTTCGAAGTCTGATGGGTACATAGGACATACCTGTGTATGATATATCCTAGGTAGGTTCATGGACAAGTTGCTTCTAGCAAGGGTTATGAACATCTCAAGTCACAAGCGAAATGTGCAGTTTTATCAGAATAATTATATTTTTCTATATAAAAAGTGATTCTTATTACTCATTATCTATTATTCAAAATCAGATTGAACCCTTTCCAGACAATATTATCTAGTAGTGTGCTATATTATACAGAGTGCGCGGACCCATTATTCCAGGGAAATAACATTATAAGGTCAAATAACAACCAAGATCGATCCACAGTGAACTTCATCTTGGACGCGCTTTAATTTTGTATAAAAATATTTGATTAGTATTTATCTGGGCTATGAAAAAGTGAAAGTAGCAACAATTTTTGGGCAATAAAATAAATAGTTTTGAGCAATTTTTTATCATTTACCAATGATAGTTTCATGTATTAACAAGAAAAAGAAAAAGCACAGTATTTATATGCGTAACTGGTAATAAAAACTAGGAGAATAAGAAATTCATTTTTGTTTTTGTGCCAATAATACTTTCTTCGTCATGCCTTTTCGTTCAAAAAACACATTGTTTTTCTCAGGTAGAAAATGTGAGTGTGAACAGATAGTCGCGTAGTCTAGGGACCAGAAATATGCAATAGCCAACTTCATTTTGAGACTGACGAGGGATGTGAGGATGCACTTGTATGTAGTTAAAGAGAAGGGCTCCTCATTTTCACTCTCATGTATCCACATGAGCACTCTCAAGATGGCAGAAATTGCATATTTCTTCGGCTGTAGGGAGGGTCGTATGAAAAAAAAGTTTGATTGCTTTTGTCAAGGTCAAAGGTCAAATTTGGCCAATGGCGACCAAGGTGTGAGGATGAGTGCTCAATGATGGGCGCGCTGTGGAGAGGGTGGCCACATATGGGCCGATAGGAAGTGTTGTTGTGAGACGACCTTCTGTTGTCACGCGCATCCTCGTTTTTTAGTGTTTTTGAAAAGTTGTATATTCTTTAGTATATGTGTCTGTTCTTTGGTGATCGCACCATAGCCTCGGGTATACATGTGTCTTTTGTTCCCTCGATTGGCAGGAAGATGATATGAAAAAAATGGCTTGTGTGTCTGTAATTATGTTTGTGCCAGGGTCAAAGATGTAAAACTAGATTTTCTTGGTAAAAAAATAAAACTTCACCAAAGGGTAATCGAGAGCAAAGAATATGAATACGGTATTAGTTTTTAAAATTTTTCCTCAGAGTTTTCTTTTGAAATTTTCAACTAAGTTTTACAAAAAAATTACTGAAATTTGTAAGGGTTGTTCGAAGGATCATAGAGTTTCAGCATTCCGAATTTAGTGTTAGTTTTTATAAATTATATGTATAACAGAGTCAGTAACATTCTCTTGCATGATTTTACGAAAAGGTGCTTGGCGAGTCCGTTAGCGAACTTTATTAACAATCGTTCTTAGAAAAATAAGTAACAATGAATCAATGTAAACTAGAGATTAAAAAAACGAAGTAATTACTTCTCTCCTATGCTTGTTATGACTTCTTACTATAATGCAATAAAAAAAGTTTTTTTATCTACTTTGGTCACATATAAGCCACCTTTCTGTCACGTAGCTGATTATGAAAGTTTTAAGCATGAGCATTCTCACTTGCATCTTAAATCAGTGTTGTTTTTGGATTTGTCACGAAGTGATTTATAAAATAATCAACTGGGAAAAACAGCCTCAACAAGTATATAAATTCATTGTTTAAGTTAACATCAATGATGACATCAAAAGAAAATACAACTCAATATATTCATTCAGTCGATGGTTAAGCGAATTCTGCCTTCACGACCGTTACTTGTTTATGAAGATTTTGATTAAGCTAGAACTGCAAATTAATTTACGAACAAATATATCAAGAAAGGAGCTTTAAGTTCTTTAAAAAAACCCTCAGCCAGAGGGTTAAGACCACCTTAACTCTTTACAACTGGCGACCAGATGGCAATAAGAAAAAAAATATTCCTCTACGTATTTTGGTTCTTTTAGATGTCAAAGTTAAAAAATCCTATCGTGAAATCTAAAGACCTGACTTCGAGTCGAATATGAACATGCTAGCATTTTTGGCTACATCCGGTCGTATAGCAGAAAAAGTTATTATTTGCGCCAATTGATCTGCTTCCCTAGAGTCGTGAATGTTACTAGATGACAACATTCCACTTTCGTTTGTTGCATGTTTTAACAAAATCTTGTTATTAGTTCTGCTGTATGATGAGAATAAGGCAGAGAGATTTTGGGAACGAATGATTAACATACCGATTTCTGATGAACCTTCGCAAAACTGATGAATTTAATTACATTGACATTTCATCTAAATTAGAAAGTAAAACACTTTACACAATAGTAGTCCACTCAGGCCGTTATAAATTTCAACGAAAAAACTGAATCGTTTTGCACAAAACAGATGCTGATTCATTAAAAGTAAAAGAATATAGACTTCACTATTAATTCAAACGAGACCTGACTGCAACTTAACGATATTTTAGAAGGTGGAGTTTCGAGAACAAGGATGTATTGCATCGCCATTTATCTTAAGGAGAAATTCACTGAAATTTTGTTTAAAATCAGTACATATTGATCCGGTACGAAAAGATGAACAATTTGATATACGTGTCTCTAATTATCGTCTTGTAAAACAATTAATGAATGACTGTCTGAATGAGTTACCACTAAAACTGTTGCTCAATATTGCCATACGACATCATCCGTCCGGAAAAGATTAAATTCTCTCGAACCACATGTAGTTTCTTCGATCTGTATAGAAATAATGTAAAGTCTTTCCGAATTATTCGGAATCAAACATAGTCGATGAGGAACCACTCCCATTAATCTTTATTTAGCCCATCTAGATGGAGACCTTTGCGCTACATATAGGACTTGAATCCTGTAGGATGTGGATGTCTATAAACAAAAACAGACAATTTTACGAAATAAGAATAATTAAAAATAATTCTACATCGGATCTGAACAATTTAGAACATATATAGATGCTTCTGCAGTCGAAATCAGCTATTTTTTGACTGTCATAGCATCTGTGGAATGATAAGGTCAGCTGTTTCCTCCTGGTAAACATATCTAATTGACTCTAACTATATAAAAGAAGTCTAAAAAATATTTGCTCAATAGTATTGTTCGTCAGTTAACAATAGGTAAGATAATATTGTGTAAATAATGCTGTAGTTGAAGACAATGTTATTACTGGACACGTTCATTTATTGGAAGCAAAGACTAAAGGAACAAAAGCAAACATTAGTTTACAATTCATAAATATCTCTCAAACTAGAAACAGTCCGCGTCAGCATCTTCACCATATTTTTCCTAAAAAAATCAGTATTTAAAAAAGCGTATGTACATTCGTTAGAAAACGTTACAAACCCTTGTTTCTTTTACATTGATTACTTTCAAATAAAAGTCAAATGTAATAAAAGCATCCTCTTAATAACATATGCTGAACATAACTTTTTGCCGGTTTTTCTAATCACTTTCTTCATCTAGTTTTTCATCTACGAAATGTTTTTTTACAAAACTAGGTTTACGATGTCAAAACAACAAAGCATCGATCATGCCGTACTTCTCTAGTCAGGCTAGGCTACCTTGTTATCATATATACATATATCGTATATTACCTATGTGTACATATGTAATGTTTTCTGAGAATGTATCTCATGTTTTCGGAAGTAAATTCTCTAGAAGACACTATCGAGAGATCACGCGTTTGTTCTTTGCGCGGAAATTCACTCTACACTGGACACTCTCGAAACAATTTGGGATGTTTCATTCTGGAGGCATGAGATACATTCTCAGAAAAACATTAAATATGTTTACATAGGTAATATGCTATATACGTATATATGACTGCAAGGTTGCTTGGCATGACTAGAGAATTACTGCGTGACAGATGCATTGCTGCTTAAAAAAGTATGTTCAGCATTTTTTATTAGGAGAATGATTTTATTGCATTTACCTTCTATTCAAAAGTAACCAATATAGAAGAAAGATGCATATAAGAATTTGTAGCGCTTTCTACGAAATATCCATCTCTGTAAGTAAGCTTTTTGAAACGCTGATTTTTTTTAATGAAGGAACATGGTGAAAATGCTGATTCTGACCACTTCTGATCAAGAGAACATATACTATTCGTTGATTTGAAAAGGCCGACCAGGTATCTACATACTTGCTGTTCATTTGACGTTTGTTCGATTTTAGTTGGAACTTTTCGTATGAGTAAAAGTAAAGGTGCATACATGATATTTAGAGCAGCCACAAGGTAGAGTAACCAGTCAAAACCAATTAGGCGATGCGCATATCCTGAGATAATCGGACCTATTTGATAAAATAGTTAAAATGAAATATATGTGTATCTATGTAAATTATGGTATTTTGTTGCTGTTACCGAGAATGAAGCAAAGACAGAGTGCCATATCGAACAGAGAGAAAATATTCCCAAACCCGGATGCATATCGAACGTCAACTATTTGAATGAGTCCTGCCACCATTGATGAACTGATCATACCAATACCTATTCCAACTAGAGATACTGATATGATCAGAATACTGACTACTTGTGCTTGCGTAATCTGTTCAGAATCAATGTAAGATAAATCATAAGAGAATACATCTATCATATCTTACACTAATGAAGCCAACTGCTATAACCTGCATACCTAATAAACTACAAAGCCATCGACCCATCCGAAAGCTTAACCGTCCAAAAATGTTTTGACTGAGAAACATAGCGATAGCAAAGGGAAGGAAAACCGCACCTATGAAAATAAAAATAAAATATCGAAAATGTACGCATGGTCTACCTTGCAACCAAGATGGTGACATCCATTCAATCATCATATGAATAGGAAGAATTGTTTCAAGAATTGCTCCACTACTCAAGCTTAACAGAATACATCCTTAATAGAACAAAAAGTACTGTAAATTTATTAAAAAAAAAAGAACAAATCAACTTACCCATCATTAACCAGATATATGGATCACAAAGCAATGTAGGAATAGACACGTTTGTTTTACCGCCTCCATATTCAACGCTCTTGCCTTCTGACATTGAATTAGAGCCGCACATCATGCTTAGACGAAGTACTGTACAAAGGAGAGAAAAAGATCTCTATTAGATATTTGAAAAATTTATTTAATAACCTACATCCGTCAATCAAAGCTATAAAGGCCAAAAGAAGAAACATGGTAGTCTTTCCATAATTATAGTATAGTACACCACCCAAAAATGGACCCACTAAAATTTCAATATTGAGTATGTCTTTGTAGAAAAGTTAAGGAGTTACATGCAGCTCCAATCGCAACACCGCTCGTTACATGACTGATTACAATACCTCGTTCTTCATCGTTATGATACTGGCTCGCCAAAAAACCGAAACCTATAACGAATAAAGCAAAGGTAAATTGTCAGTACGCAAACTACACTATTTCAGACACCTGCCACTGCAGTGAAGGCGGAACCGAGTCCTTGTAGTGCTCGACATAAAAATAACGTGGTATACGTGTGAGCGAAGGCAAAACCTGCAACAAAATTGCTGACTGGCTTAATAGAGTTAGTCCATCTTCACTTACCACAAGTAGAACCGAACATTACAACAAAGCCAAAAAGTAATGGTGGAGTGTATCCAAAACTAAAGAAAAAGGACGACTTATATTCCTTGTTTAAACATAATTGCTAAACTTACCGAGCAGTTAAAAGGCCTACCAAAGGGTTTGTAAATAGCTATTTAGATCTGTTCATATATAGAAAATCTATTGGTTATTTCAAAATAAAACTCACTTGAACGAAAGATTTAGAAGCAAACAGTAAACCGATTCGGCCATTTTCCTGCGAAATAACACAATTGAAAAGTTTGGAAAAGTTAAATATCTACCTGTACAAGATCGTGTTCTACCGACGCTGCTTCTTTAACCGTTTGGTGTCGATGAAAAAATGGAATTGTAGCATTTTCCCGAAAGATGAGGTGGCATTCTCGATCGCTTGATGTCATTTTATTGAATTTTAATGAACAATTATGAGCAGGATGTTCAATTCGATAAAGATAATCGGGAATGATCGGAACTAAAATATTGAAAGACGGTCTATACATCATCGTGCTATAGTGGTATCTATGCTTGAATTTCTTCATGGCTGATTTGAGAATTTTTCAAAAAGCACTACAAAACTTTATTAAATATTATCCTAGCAAAAATCATTTGATTGAGTAATTTTTTTTGCTTCTGTATTTCTATCCTAATAAATGATGTTGCTTTCATCTCTTAGTTCGCAAAGTTATCGAAAGAATATTCATTCTGTATTGAGAACAAGTATCTCAGAATTTCTACCTTCTGAAGCTTCGTTTTTTAGGATTGCAGAGTTCGCTGGTGTGTTCGACTATATGTATTTTTGAGAGTACTAGGATCTCAAAATATATCTTATCTTTCAAAATAAGGTACGCGACAATGTGTCTCGAGCTTCTCTGCTACTGTGAACGTTTCGACTTTTCAGTTTTTTAGAGCGACGACTAGCATTGTACTCCTAGAAATGATGCATCCTACTTCCTATTTGGAAGAAGAAAATGTAAATACGGTTTCCGATCCAAAGAGTGCTGAATGAAGATTTTGTTGTCGAAATCCGATGCAAAATTCGTTTCGGGAGTCTGAGATCTGATTTCACTTGTGTCAAAACGACAACAGAACGATCCCTTAACAATTCAGTGTATTTAGAAGTGTGTAGAAATAAATTATCAAGTGAATCTTCGACTACTCAATATTGGAACACCAAAGTGCCCTTTCTTGCTTAAAATAAGCGATACAAAAATATATGACATGGAAAACGCTGATTACAAGTAAATTTTGAATCTCTTTAACGTTGTGATCAAATAAAAGAGTAGAAATGTTTTGTTCTTTTGAACTTCATGGAGTTTGTCTAATGGCAGGTAGTTCTAGTTTCTTACAAAAGCCTGTGAAATAAAGCAAGTGTTCATCATATAATTTAAAGTTTTTTGTGTGGCAGTTAAAAGTGATCGCGTCTAGTAATACAGGAATTAACATTAGCCTTCGTTGTATTCTCGATTAATCCCTAACACGTGTGTCTGAGCAGAAACTTCTAACGTCATTTCATACAAAGTTTTGATAAAACATCTCTTCAATAACTGCTTTTTCTCTTATCTTCACATAAAAACTCTGAAAATCCTATGCAAAAATTAAAAGTATTTAATAAAATGATCGTCGATATAGCTGAGAGTCCTGCAGAATAGTTGTGAGTTCTCCGAACTTCCCATTACCTCATACCGACAGTTTCTCAAGATGGATCGACTGCAACAACTGGGACGATCACGAAAAGTTTTGCCCCAGAATTTATGCACATAATACCAGAATCTATAGTAACTTTTAAACATGTATTTCCTCAGAAATATTTCGTCATTAATTATATCGATTTATGTAAGTATAGATTAATGCAATAATTAATCGTTAAAATTATTAGTTGACTACATCACAGCCAAGAAAAGAGTGTTAGTGCCTACAGTCGGAAAGGTCAATGCAAACATCAAAGAAAAACCTTGGTTATGTATTCACAGAAAAAGTGAGTCGAATAGGTTTCGACAAGATAATTGTGATCCTTATTTTTTCCAATGCATTGGAGCCGAATTCAGAAAAAAAATTCGCCTTGACAGACTCTAAAGTTGAAAATGATAATAAAAAGTGAGCACCTGTTTCTTTCTTGAGTTTAAAAGTTATCTAGACTATAATTGGACTAGGACACATATATATTTTTTCAAAACGCTTATGTTCGTAGGCTGAATAGATTTTACTCTAGTTCTTTTCTCCACCTCATCAGGAAAAACATGAACTCATCGTATTCATTCTATCATCTGAAAATATACTCTATTACAGAGATTTGCCAACTACCAATCTTGTTCTTCTCTTTTACTAATGAATATTTCATTATTACAGACTATTGTAGAACTATAGTGCTAACACAAACAAATTGCCAAAGTACAGATTTTTCTTGCGTGAAGATTATACGAATTTCATATTTTAATCGCAAAGAAACTGTGTGGAGAAGCTTCCTTTGACTTACCCACACACGTGAAAAGTACGGTGTCGAGGAAAAGTGCAAGAGCGACGATAATTGCCACTAGTAGACGAGAAGAACGCCATCCAGTTGTAAACGGTGAGAACCATTCAAAACTCATAGCCTTTCTGGAAGTGCTCGAAATCGTTCTAATAACAATCTAGAATAACGTTCGTATGTATTTTCTATTAAAAGTGAGTTAAATTCACATAAGCGATCCTTAATATGAATAACACTGTCGGTATTCATAGAATCGTTAGTTTCAAGCATTTTAATTAGAGCTATTACGTTACTTTCAGATTTTGTTATGATACTATTATCTGTAAAATAGAATAGTGGCCATAGATAGTTTTGCAATAACTCAACAACGGAAGAAACTACAGACCTTTGAATTTCATCAAAAGGCTTGAAACTTCATTAGACATATAGCTATGGTATGTCTGATTAGATCAAGAACTGATCAATCGTATCGTTTCTTGAGAACAATAAGAGGACCATAGTTTTGAAAAGGACGTTTCTATCACCCACCATTGGCGGACTAGATGGATCGCTCCGAAACTCTTGTTTTCGACTAATAGACGATATTACGCTCCGAAATAAGCTGTGACACAAGTGATTCATTATGGAGAACCCTATGGTGACATTCGTTTTCAATCTACATCAATCTGTGTCTCTGACACTGGATGCCATGCTTGCCCATATTTTGCTCACCTACATATACAAAAGCCTACAGGCTCCATTTGATATCTGAAATTGATGTAAATTGAAAACGAATGTCGCCATAGGGTTCTGCATGATCAATCACTCGTGTCGCAGCTTATTTCGGAGTACAATATCGTCTATTAGTCGAAAACAGAAGCTTCAGGGCGACCCACCTAATCCGTCAATGGTGCGTGATAGAAAAATCATCCTTGAACATAAAACCAGATAGAAACGTCCTTTTCAAAACTATGGTCCTCTTATTGTTCTCCAGAAACGATACGATTGATCAGTTCTTGATCCAATCAGACATACCATAGTTATATGTCTAATGAAGTTTCAAGCCTTTTGATGAAATCCAAAGGTCTATAGTTTCTTCCGTTGTTGAATTATTGCAAAACTATTTATGGCCGCTATTCTATTTTACAGACGATAAAGAAAGACAATAATAGTTATTACTTTTTCACGATAATAACCGCGAAACTAAAAAAATCATAATTTTTATCAAAGTGACGAAAATGATATTCCCTATATTGATTCGGTATTGTCACGAACAGTAATGATGACATCAAACGCTTAGCAATGAACAAACTTCTATTACGCAAAACAAGTTATGGGCAAAAAACTTTTAACTTATCAATATGCGAAAAATGCAGAAAAAATACCAATGTGGCGAAACGAGATAAATTTCTTTTCATAAAAAACTGCACTACTCTTCTCTTTTGTCGGTTCGATTCTATTTTTAAGTTGTTGGCGTTTTTTGAACAGAACCGAAAGTTTTTTGCGCAATTGTACAGTTAATATACAAGCAAAAAACAATCATTTCCAAATTTCTTAAAAAAGGCACTGACAAAGCGGGCGGATGCGTGTGCGATTCAAATGAACGAAAAAATATAGTTATCTAACTGATAAATAAATAAATCAAGTTGAAGAAGTAAAATCTCCATGGGCAAAGCTCCAAATGAAATGAGGAATTGTCCATTCGACTCCTCCTCTCCCCCTGGTTGCGCCACTGACTCGTAGTGTCTAAACTTATATAATATTTTCATAGAGTAGAAACCTCTGAGTTGACTGAGTACTTTTTAGCTAACCCTGAAAGGCATAAGTTTTCTAATACCCCATAGCGGCTTTTCAATTTTGGAAAACGGAATCCTCTATTATTATTCGCGTGATTTGGAAAAACTAGTCCATTCGCAAACACATCATTCTCTTACGCAGGTTAGAAATACTACGAACACATTTACGATCAAGCGCTAAAATGGTTCGTTACTCATTATTTTGTATACAAGAAAGATAGGATAACATTTCTACTTTTGATCAGAAAACGATCTTTAAAAATCAGACGTGGAGAAGTCAAGCAAGATCAAGTTATTTTTAATTTTCTTCATTTGAAAAAACTGACAAAAACTTGAGATAACTTGCGACTTACTTATCGCTGTTAGAAAAGCAATTTTGCACCTAGTTGAATTCTACATATGGTCTATGTCTCAGCTATTAAAGAGAGGAAGAGAAATGTTTTCCTTTTATTTCGGCCTATGGCGAAAAGTAAAATTGGTCTCGCTGAAACTTTCACGAATTCGAGTTCTCATAGCTGACAGCCGCTCTTGAAATTTCAGTACGATCGGTTGAGAATTTTCTGACATGTGACCGCGATCAAAGTAAATGTCAGATATAGCTTCTGTCAAAATGCTGTAGATGTTCAACCTCAATTATTTGAGGGCGGCTCGAATCGCAGTCTTATATGCCAGCCCTAATCCCGTCGAATTTTAGTAATATCAATCTGTTTAATGCACATCTGTTCATTGTTTTCGCTGAGTTACACGGCTGGAAGTGAGACATTTCACTCATTTGTAAATATCTCTCAACCGAAAAATTACTAGACTTCGTATTTTTCCTACATTGTTCCCAAAGATTGTTGGTTCATGCAAAGTAATTGGAGATTCAAACAGTCCGTCGAATTACATAAAATCCTCTACGGACACGATCTCAGCGATATTCGCCCGCTGAAATAACCCAAGGGCAACAAACACACCTACGGCATGTCATATTCAGATGACACCTGTTTTTCTGCTTTCTCATTGATCTTTCTACCGCAGTTTTAATCTTTTTCAAAACTAACTCGAC